TTTTAAAATCAGGTTTGTTTTTTTAAAATTGTTTTTAACTAAAATAGTTAAATGAAATATTTTAAAAAAAACAAGAAAAATTAAATCGACTATGTCAGCCAGGTCAACATGAGAAACTTAAAATATTGGCTTCTGTAGCTAACTCAGTCGTCTTCACCTTCATTTTCCTGTTTGTTCATAATCTGGAAAAGAAAAACAAGCTTTCCTGCTTTTTCAGGTCCCAAACGATTTCTCAATTTGGAATGAATTAGTCCAAAAGAAGAAAATATTCTTTCTATACCGGCAGAAGAAGCTACTGCTGTTAAAAGTGAGATTATCACTTCAACAGTCTCTGAATCCAAGTGCTTAAGTGACTTCCACCAGTTCACTGGTGTGACTTTTTTTAAAACATCATCAGCAAACATATATTTCTTGAATGGTTCACCCTTAGCTCTGAAGTGTATTATAGTTGGCATTATGGAGGGATGATTGCTGGATGCCTGTGTCATAGCCAACTCCTCTTCTTCAGCAGTTAAGGTTTGATCCTGGTACCGAGTATTGAGAATATTTGCAAGAAAATGAGCTTGTCCCATTCGTTTTTTTTATTGCTTGTAATTTGCATATTTCTTTTTAAGATCTCACTCAGTTCCTTCCAAATTTCAACAGCGTCAGCAATAAAACAGCTATTTCCCTGCATTTTGTTCAGAGCTACAGAAATAGGCTTCAGGGTACTCAGCACGTGTTCAACATTTCTCTTAAGCCCAATGTTGAGAGTGCCATCTATTTTTTCACCATTTTGTTCATAAACTGTCATCCAATTAAAGGTGTTCTTGATATGTGCTCAGAACAGTCCACTACCGAGTTCCATCGCACGTCTTGTGGGAGAGTTAGCTTGGTTCCTCCCACTCTTTTCAGAGCAGCTGCTGCAAAGTGGTTGTTACAGAAGTATTTTGCAATTTCAACATTAGCCTTTATTTCTGGAACACTAAAGTCTTTGGCTAGGAGCTGCAGCAAATGAGCACTGCAACCGTATGTTATTAGCTTGGGATTCTCTTCACTCTCTCCTAAATTTCTTCTCATCTTGGATATATGTGCAGCATTGTCTGTGACCAAACTGCGTACTAGACATTTGAATTTTTTTTCACGGTTTCTTATAGCTTTTACTACTACTTCTTGTAAGTATTCTGCTGTGTGTGCATTTCCTGATGTATCAATTGTTTCTGTAAGGAAGACATTCCCTTCTTCTGTTGTCACACAAGCACATACAACAGGACCATTGTGGACATTGCTCCACCCATCAAGACTCAGGTTAACAATTTCACCCTCCTAGACCTTTTGCACACTGCTCAATTTCTCTTTCATACACTTTATCCAGCAGTTTGCATGCAACATCTGCTCTGTTGGGTGGACTGTATCCTGGTCTTAATGACTGAACCATGTTTATGAAGTGTGGGTTCTCAATCATACGGAAAGGAGAGTTTGTTGCATAAACAAACTGGGCAATTTTTTCATCAATTACCTCTTTTTGTAATCTGCTGGTTCTTATCACAAACTTATCTATGGTTGTTTCAGGATGATGGAGGGGTTTTTTTCTTTTTGCTACAGGTGATATACTGTGGCTATGTGACATACATGATGTGACTGAAACACTATCACTGGCAGATAACTCTGCAACTATAGAAAATGATGGTGATCTTGAAGGTGGATAGTTTTCAGAATCCTGTATGATGAGGATGGATTCCCCTAAACAAAATAAGTCAATGCAGTTATTTAATTATTATTACCATACTGCTCATTTAGTATTACCCATTGCATTCACTGACACTCAGTACTACTTTAAAGGTGAAATTGTAACAGGAAGATCTGCTTATTTCAGCTATCTATTTTTTTATCACAATTGCATCTAAAATGATAGTACCATAGAGTAACAACTATATTTTTTGCTCAAACATGAGAATTCAAGAATAGTCCAGAAGGAAGACAGGCAGTCCTTAAGAAAGAAGTATGAAATAAAAGTTTACCAATCTGAAGATCCTGCATGTTCAGACATCTTCCTTTCATCATCGTCAATGCAGCTTCCTCCTGAGAAGGAACACTTCTCATGATGTTGTTTCATTCGGGCAACCAGGCCTTGCACTTCTTTGTTGCACTGTTTGCATTTTGGACGCATGCCTGTCTTGCCCACAGGTAGAGGAACTTCATTAAAATATTCCCAAACTGGGTCTCCTTTACGGCCTGCTGCCATTATAGGTTTTCCCTTCTAGTGAGAGAATGGTATGGTAGATCTCAAATCAATGAAGGCTACACTCAGAAAAACCTCAAGACATCTGGAATATGCTGCTCAAACAGTTTCACTTTTGTTTCCACTGCCTGTCCCTCCCTTCTCACATTTATCTCCAGACTTCTTCTCCTTGTCCAGTTCTATTCTGCCCCCAACAATCGTCTATTCATTGAACTTTCTGAAACTTTTCACTTTTAGAGAGAGGTAAGGGATTGACTCTGTGTACACAAATTTGCAGAGGGACTATAGGGTTGAGGTCAGTTATTTCTCACCTCTATATATTATTTATTTAAAAACATTTTTGCTGTTAACAAGAATGTTATCTCTGGATACATAAATCCACAGTTTGAGAACTGCAAAACTAATCATCTCTGATGGTATCGTCTAGACTGAGCACTGAGTCCCATTGGGTAGATAGAAAGATTAACCTAAATAATCTATACAGAAGTCCCTGGAACCGCATAAGATTGGGTCCCTAATCCATGAACTATTGGAACTCATTTACAAAACTTTTCTTAAACATTACATGAATATATTGTCTCATACTTATAGAATTAGAATTTATAATCCCTATTCCATGATGAGATATCTTTGATCTATAATGTATCTTTATCTTTAGTTTTTTTCCTCAAAAAGCATTTTATCAAAAAAATCCAATTTAAATAAAAAAAAAAATCTGATTTTTTTTTTAAACTGATTTTTTATTCACCCTGATTTAGACTATAGTTTTTTCTAGGTCTCTGTTCTCATTTAATCGTTGTAATATCTCGCTGTAAACTTTTAATGGTGTATTGCTTTTATAGTCTTATTTATACCCATAGTTAGGATTTCAAGAATTGCAGAGTGAAATTGTGTTGTGGCTTGTGTGGAAGTGTGGCCCAGTGGTAAGGTGCTAGCCTGGGACTTGTAGTAGTGAGTTCAGTTCCCGGCTCTACCAGATTTCCTGTGTGACTGGGCAAGTCACTTAGCCGCTCTGTGGCTCAGCTTCTCATCTGTAAAATGGGGATAATAGTAGTTCCCTACTACACAGGGGTGTTTGGGAGGATAAATACATTAAAGTTCATGAGGTGCTCAGAAATTATGGTGGTGGGCGCCATATGCAGGAGGTCAGACTAGATGATCATAATGGTTGAAATGGTACCTTCCAGCCTTAATATCTGTGAATTTCATCTATCACCTGTCTGAAGGTGATAGGTGAGCGAGAAGCCTGTTGATCTCTGTGTGTTTTGTTCCAGAAGAACATGCTTTTTGTGTTGTTTGGATAATGTGGCTCAGTCTTGAAGAGAAAGCATTTCACCCATATAATAAAGTTCAAACTCCTGTTGACTCAGGGCTTCTCTACACGTTAATTGGAACAAAAATAACTAAGTTGTTTTAATTTATATCTGTAATTATGTTGGGTCATGTCTGTGTGAAGACTCTATCGTAATAAAAGTGCCCCATCTCGATATAATTTAAATCAATAGAAAACCCATTGTGTTTCCCTGAATCCAGGAAGGAGGGTACTGTTTGTGTACAACTTGATATTATTATTTATTTGTGTTATCATAGCACCAAATGTCGTCTTATAATTTACGTTTACATCAGGTTGCATAATTCAGTTTCTTTTAAAAACCTTGTGTCTTTCACTGTTGGTCGTTAAGATGAGTTGGGCTTCCAAGAAAATATCCCAGCACACTGAGAAGTGACTACTCCTTGTAACAGAGTTAGAAGGAAGGCTGGCTACCTCAGTCAGGGCTCACTCAACTCTTGTTACAAAATGTATTTTTAAGCTTCAGCTCTTCTCTGAAAGTTGACTAAAATGGCAACATGGGGTTCTGTGTTTGTGTTTCATTATCTTCCATAACAGCTTCTTAACAGTGAGAGTAATTAATCACTGGAACAATTTACCAAGGGTCGTGGTGCATTCCCCATTACTGGCAATTTTTAAATCAAGATTGGATGTTTTTCGAAAAGGTCTGATCTAGGAATTATTTTGGGGAAGTTCTATGACCTGTATTATACAGGAGGTCAGATTAGATGATCACAGTGGTCCCTTCTGGCCTTGGAATCTATGAATCATATCAAATATTTCCACAAAGAGTTTTTTGATGGCCTGTAAGTTATGCTTCCAACAAATTATTAGGGTTGTGCAGGTCAAATTCTGCCTTTCTTCATTTCTATGGTATAACTCCCATTATTTTCAGATTTTAGCCTTAATTTACACCTGAGCAAACCTCATTCCCTTTTCCTAGTTGCCAGGTGTAACTGATTGGAACACAGTAAAACTTAATGCACAAGAAGGACTAGAATCCAGCTCACTCTCCCATAGGCATGCACAAGCTCTGCATGCTAAAAGTAATAACTTACTTTTCCCACTAAAACAAATATGAATTAGAGCAGAGATGTTGCGTAGGAGAAGCCCACTTTTAAAGTCACATAATAGAACTTCATTTTGAGGTCAGATCTTTTGAAGCACAAATTTTAGATGCATCTTTTTCTGTATCAATAATTTATCTCTTAAAAATAGTTCCACTAGAGGTTTTGAAAGCATGTTGAAGTCTGAAATGGACACTCAAACGGTATTCATGAGTCTTAGTACACGAAACAAATGCATCAAGGTAAAGGCTCATTCTCAGACCTGAAACTGATAAACTGTTGGTTACTTAACCATATAACCCATGACTTCCTCACTTCTCAGTAATAACCTTATTTGAAAACTACATATGCTCAAATGGTTTTTTTTTTTGCCCCAAAACAGGTTAGGTGGTGGCTCTGATGACGCAAAGGAGATTATGCAACACAAATTTTTTTCTGGCATTGTTTGGCAAGACGTATATGAGAAAAAGGTACTTATAATAATTCCTCTGATGTAAAGTGGGTTTGTGGAGAAACTGAATATGTTTTTAAGGTGGTCCCTACATTGGCTATTGAAGATTACTTCATAAAAAAGGTTTGCTACATTTCTGAATCAGCTTTTCTAAGCCAGAATTGTTATAGTTCTTACAGCAATATAGTTCTTTATTTCTAACTAAAAAATTCCTGCTAAAGAAAACATATTTAAATCAACAATAAGAGTAAACGAGATTCTGTTAAGTCAAAAATGGCTCAAAATATTAGTTTTTTGTGAACGCAAGCTTTTACAAAACTGGTTTCCATTAATTTTGTTTTAATTATAGTTGAAACAGTTTTCTCTTTAACCAGCGATACCCCTAAGATGCTTGAAGCCCAGAAACTGGCTCATTGAACCAGTGCCTGAGAATCTGAACATGAAACTAACCAGAAATAATAGTGAAACTGTTTTTTGCTTTTTGCATTTCTCTCTGTTTGAATAATGCAAATAGACTCGATCAGACAAATAACGTAAACACAGAGAAGTAAAACTTGGATTTTTTTTTTTTTAAAGTTAGTTGAGTTCTAATAAGGGGTTTGTGACGAAGAAGGGAAGGACAATTTTAAGTATCTGAATTCATGGTTTGTCACCTACTTTTCTGAAGCCCCGCCCCCATGTTCTCTAACAGGAGCCCCGAGGGTCAGAGAGACTGACCTGCTGCTATGTGACTGGCATAACCACTACTCTGTCAGTGATGTCGACCTCAATCACTTCCACCTCCATTATCTTAGAGCCATTTTCCACGTTGCCTTGATTACCTCTTCCGAGCATTTCCCTCCACTCATTCAAGTCCCTCCTCACAAACACTTTTGTCATGACACCCACATGGAACTCAGACATCTATTTAGTGATAAAAAGAGAAACAACTTCATCATGCCATGTACTAGCTGTTGAGTAACTCTGTGACCTTATTCGTGTTATCCCTCTTTGCCCTCCGTACTGTCTTATTTTCCCTGCATCATATCAGAGCTAATTTAATTAGGAGGCAAGAGTCATATCTTCCCTTGGTTTTGTAAAGTGCTAAAGCCAACTTTGGGCCCCAATAAGCATAAATAATCATTTCTTTTTAACCTGAAAGTCTCTTATTAATTAATAGAAATGTATGATCTGTTCAGGGTTTTAGCTGTTGGATTCCTTTTAGTATAACTAACATCATAATATGTTAGCAGTTTCCATATAATACCAATAGAGATTAACATCGTTGGCTTTCCTATTGTATTTGGAGTACAAAGGTTACCCTATCTTCTCCTTCCAAAACTTCCCTCTCTCCTTGTTGATAAAGTTATGAAGATGTCGAATAGTCCCCTGGAGAACGCAAAAGATACAGCAAACAAAGTGTAATATGACACGCACGTTCCTAATACTAGAAAACTCTTGTATTAGGAAAGATGTTGCCCCTTTATATCATTTTACAGAAGGGAGAGAGATGCATCTGAATACTGATGAAATATTTCAGCATTGTACGCTTCACACTTGAATACCTATGCATCATTCAGCATACATTGATCCTTTTAAAGGACACCATCCAGGTTGCCAGGCTAAAATTTTAACCTGTTGTAAACATACACCTTTTAATACTTACAATATAACTCTGCCCTTCTGCTCCTGGAAAATCTGTCATTTCCCCTAAAGAAAGGCTTGTAACTGACAGAACTCGAACTCTTCTGCTGGGCAAGTGGAAAACAAACCCTAGAACTGTATCAGAGGGGTAGCCATGTTAGTCTGGATCTGTAAAAAGCAGAATTAATACAGCCTAGAACTGTATTAATTCATGATCACACATGCATGTTTTACTGGGCGCCTCTCATTCTGCCTGCCCTATTCTTGTCAGAAAGCAGAGTTCTGAAATTTACAAGTATCTCGATTCTTGAGAGAATAGGAGTTGTGTATATTCCATACCCTGTCTGCTCACCAGACTAAGGCAGTCAAACAAATTGGAGGGATAGCAAGTCATTTATTTGCCTTTTGTGCATCTGCCAGGAAACAAAGAGCTGTCTGGAAGGTCTGATTTTTAGATCTACTAGCCTTGACAATATCCCTTTTAAGAACAGCTATCAAAGGAGACTGCCACATTTAGAATGTCTGCAGTAAATTTATCAGGTCTTGGACTTCTGCATGCCAGCATTCTGATTGCAGAGTTTACACAGTTCAGTGTAAAGAATATTGTTTTTAATATGATCTTCATGAAGCTTATAGAGAGTGGTGATGGGCCAAAAACTTCGATATTTTTTTCCAATCCCTCCAGACATTTGCTGCCCTGGAGAAAATAGTGCCTGGATCAAGACTACCTCTGACATAGTCTTTGCAAAACCAAAACCCAACCTCTTTGGCCCATTTCTAGCAAGCAGGCAAATCAGAAATTGGATCTAAGACATTATCTACTGTAGAAATACCCACTCTGCGCAGGCCAAAGAGACAGGTTTAAGTGGCCTGGAGGGCCTTCTGAAAGTGATAGAATATCACCCCATAGTGAGTGAAATATGCTATTAGTCTACATGAATCTCTGGGACAGACATGGTTCCCCAGTGTCATTGGGAAATGTTGAATAAGTTTACATAATTGAGGTTTTGTATGAACAAGGACATTTTCTGTGTAATTGAGCCTGGGAGACACGACCTTGCTTTGAACAACAGGGAGTTGGGCGTGACTGAGTTTGTCTAGTCACAGAAATTTAAAATCTTTATCAGAATATCCCTGCTGAAAATCTTTGCCATTTGTCCTTGGAGAAGGCTGCATTTTAACTGGGCAATACTTCATCCTTCCACAAACTCTATGTAAACGTTGATATTTTAATTGCATCTTCTCACCAGTTTCTCTTGGCTAGTAAGCAACTTAAGTCCACGTATCTCATGCTGGCATGCAGCAGCATTACGCTACAAGTGGCACCTCTCAACCATAGTCTGCTGAGCTACTGCAGTGAGACCTGTTCAGTAACATGACAAATCCACTTAATAAAACTAACCTCACAGCTTCTTGCTACAGTCTCCCATTTCCCCTCCCAGTTCAATAATCCAAATCTGACCATATACAAAAATATTGCCCTCATTTTGTAGGTGCAACTCACCCTGTCTTAGATTGTATTTTACAAATATTTTGTAAACACCTCTTATACTTGTTTTCTGTTTCCTTCTGCGGTTCCTAGTCATTCGCTAGCATAGAGTTTAAGTTTCTGCTGCAGTGCCCGAGCCCTTAATCATTCACGCATTCTGAGACTCAGTGCCGCAGACAATTTCGAGAGTGACTGGGAGCAGCACGTGTGCCAAAACCACCATTAGCTAAATGGGTTATGGATAGAATGAACACGCAGAAAGGGCCAAGCTATTGCTTAGACGGAGGAGAAACTGCCTTATGGATGATCAGAATATTGGGGGTTCAGTATCGGGGAGAAAGGATGCTTATCCTCACAAAAAAATATACTGATTGGAATCACTTGAGAATAGGATTGTTATCTTATGAAATGGAGCTCCCTTCTATTGTACTGTACCTCTAATAACATATAGACTATAAAGCCTACATTTTCAATAGTGTCCAATAATTTGGGGTACTTAACATTGATATCTGAGCTATCTGAGCCATTAGCGATTATCTTTGAAAAGTCATGGAAGATGGGAGAGATTCCAGATGACTGGAAAAGGGCAAATATAGTGCCAATCTATTAAAAGCTGGAGTATTGTGTTCAGTTCTGGGCATCACATCTCAGGAAAGATGCGGACAAATTGGAGAAAGTCCAGAGAAGAGCAACAAAAATTATTAAAGATCTAGAAAGCATGACCTATGAGGGGAAGATTGAAAAAATTGGGTTTGTTTAGTCTGGAGAAGAGAAGACTGAGAGGGGACATAACAGTTTTCAAGTACATAAAAGGTTGTTACAAGGAGGAGGGAGAAAAATTCTTCTTCTTAACCTCTGAGGATAGGACAAGAAGCAATGGGCTTAAATTGCAGCAAGGGAGGTTTCGGTTGGACATTAGGAAAAACTTCCTGCCAGGGTGGTTAAGCACTGGAATAAATTGCCTGGGGAGGTTGTGGAATCTCAATCATTGGAGATTTTTAAGAGCAGGTTAGACAAACATCTGTCAGGAATGGTCTAGATAATACTTAGTCCTGCCATGAGTGCAGGGGACTGGACTAGATGACCTCTCGAGGTCCCTTCCAGTCCTATGATTGAGACCTCTTAAAGGGGCCTGAATTTCTGAAACTGCTGAGTACTTATCTGATCCTCAGACTCCTTCAAGGTATCATTGGGCACCCAAAATGACTAGTTAGTTTTTAAAATTTAGGCTTAAAATATGTATATTGTTTGCATCTTGTAACTGTATTAGGTATTTATAATAAGGGCCATTTTTAAAACAGTTGTATTCTCACTTCCCATAATGTTGAATTGTTGGTTCTAAACCTCTCAGGTTTTTTCTTTGAAGTATCACCAGATTCGATCTCTGTGGATCATATTTTTGTCTTTAATTTTAAATCTAATCTGAAATAAAATTAAAGGGGCCTAATATTATTTATTGTATGTATTGCAGTAGCAACTAAGGAAGTGTTATTTTCCCTTTCACGTAACACAGTAGCCAGGGGTCACCCAATGAAATTAATAGGCAGCAGGTTTAAAACAAACAAAAGGAAGTAGCACTTTACATAACTCAGAGTGAACCTGTGGAACTCATTGCTAGGGGGTGTTGTGAAAGCCATAATTATAATTGGGTTCAAAAAAGAATTAGACAAGTTGATGGAGGATAAGTCCATCAAAGGCTATTAGCCAAGATGGTCAGGGATACAACCCAATGCTCTGGGTGTTCCTAAGCCTCTGATTGCCAGATGCTGGGACTGAACGACAGGAGATGGATCATTTGATGATTGCCTGTTCTGTGGATTCCCTATGAAGCACCTGACATTGGCCACTGTTGGAAGACAGGATACTCTGCTAGATGGACCGTTGGTCTCACCCGGTGCGGCCGTCCTTATGTTGTTTGACGTTGTGCCTACACCAGTGACTAGGTCAGCATAGCTACAGCGCTCACGGTGTGGATTATTCATGCCTCTGAGCACCATAGCTATGTAGATCTATCTTTTAATTGTAGACCAGGCCTGAGTGATTTAATGTTCTGCCTAGCTAACCTTTTCCCTGAAGTTTCAGTGGGATACAATATGCTTTCTTGATCCCATTCCCCAATTGTTGTGTTGCCTAGTGTAGTGTAGTTGCTATTACGACTGCCAGATTTATCCCCAGTGGTGGGTGAATTGATGCCCAACATCATGTCCTCTGTGGAAGGGCTACAGAATGTGATTTCACACTAAGTTTCTGCTGTATAATGCAGTGGGAAACAGAACAAGGTTTGCCTACCAGATACATTGCCTTCCAAAACTGCACATTACAAAATCCTTTGGAATGCTGCATCTGCATAAGACCAGCATGGTGGATGTGCTACTTCCCATGCTCTCTCCTCTCCCACCCCACTCAAGCAGCTCAGTTTACTTAGAGTCCTGCTGCCGGACTCCCTGCTTATACGGGGCTGATTTCTACCCCTCAGACCCAAGAGAGTTCAACAGCACAGCGTAGGGTCTTATTAGTGCTACTCATGGTTTAGCCAGAGAAGGATGCAATGTAAGAAGCTCTCCACTGACCATGCCAGTTTCCCTTAAACCTTCAGAGCTCCAGAAGTGCAGAGTTTATATCAAGTTGTTTCCATGGGATACGAGGGAGCTGTGATGCCACTGAAGTACAGCTCCCCTCCCCCTGAACAATTTTGGGCAATCAGGCAGGCTTTCCGCTCCTTTTGCCCCTCTCCCATGCCTAAAGCAGAGGGGATAAGGCCTATAGTTTGTATATTATTTTTTAAAAACAGACTATTAATTTCTTAACTGTAAATATCAGCTATTTATTTATTGCTTGAAGTAGCATCAGCGGCTCACAACTCTTTCTACTGCCAACACGATTTAGAAATAAAGCCTTTCACATCCGATAAACAGCAAATGCACATTTTGTATTGTATTTGTGTGTTTCCTATGAGCCAGGATTTTACTAGCAGCAGGGCCGGCTCCAGGCACCAGCTTCTCAAGCAGGTGCTTGGGGCGGCCGTTCGGGACAGGGGCGGCAGTTCCAGGTATTCGGCGGCAATTCGGCGGACGGTCCCTCACTCCGCCTGGGAGTGAAGGACCTCCCGCCGAATTGCCGCCGCAGATCGCAATCACGTCTTTTTTTAGATCGCGATCGCGGCTTTTTTTTTTTTTTTGTTTTTGGCTGCTTGGGGCGGCCAAAACCCTGAAGCCGGCCCTGACTAGCAGTATAGGAAAAGTCACTGTGGTTTATAGCTGAAATTCAAAGCCAACCTATAAAGAATGTATTTCAATAAACTATAAGCTTGAAGTATTTTTGCGTCTTTCAGCTTATACCTCCATTTAAACCACAAGTTACATCTGAAACAGACACAAGGTATTTTGATGAAGAATTTACAGCACAGATGATTACAATCACTCCACCTGACCAAGGTAAAGTTTTCTAAATATTTCTCACTTTCCTTTTAGACCCACCCCAAGATAATATTCAGTAGCGTTATCTGGCCTTATAGAAAAGATCAAAGAAATGTCTGTTCAGATTCATCTGGGTTTCTTCATCTACAGTAATTAAACTGTATGATTATACTTGATCATGGTGTTAGTAAACCGATATGCAGCTTTTCACTGTTAATTTGCCTATTCAAATCTGGGATGGTGGCAATGATGGGTCCATACCAAAATCCCAGCTCCAGTTTTGGGATGTTTACAAATCTGGAACTGAATTTTGCACCCTGGGCCCATCTCTAATTGATAGTACCAGAAAGTTGTTATCCAGTGGCTGCTCAGTGAGCTGTGATTCGATCTGGTGGTCTGAGTCCCTGTCCTCGTAAATGCCAAAAACCATTGACTGGGCATAGAAACTGAATTGCCCTCTCAACCCCTACTGGTGGTCTCTCCAGTCTAGTGTTTTGGGGAAGTGTGTCCCCACTCCATAGCTAACTGGAGAATTCCAGTCTAGTGCCTGTCACAGGCATAGAACGTCATAAACAGAACGGAGTAGCAGCTGGATTTTTTTGTCGTGGGGAGTTCTGACAGTTCAAAATTTGGTTTCTGTTCTGAAATGGAACTAAAAGAAAATATATGAAATATCTTACAAAATGAAATTCTGAAAAAAAAAATAATTTCAGGTCAGTTGAAATGTTTAGCTTTGTAAAATCAGAAAGTTTCGTTCTAATTTTGACATTTTACAAAAATTGATATAAAATAAAATTTTAAAAAGTTGTTTCAAAATGATAAAGCAAAATGCTTCATTCTGAAAATGTCAGAACACTTTGCATTGGCTCTTTTCCAAGCAAAATAATGTTCAAATTGACAAGTTTCCACAAAACATTTCATTTTCAACGAATTGGCATTTTCCAACAGAAAAACATTCTGTTGGAAAACTTCCAACCGGCAATATTCATAAGCTTAGAAATGCATATGCACACACATCATGTATATTAACAAACACTTGTTGCATAATGGCTAATGTGCTTTTTTATTTTAAGTATACTCTTATTTCCATGGTAACGTAGCATTCACTTTGTACCACTAGACCCGGAGGGGTGAAAATTCAGTACAGTGAATATGGATTCAGCCATACAACTTCCAGCAATGTTAAATGGACACCAACACAGCTACATCTCTGTGCTGAAAATTAACTTCTTCTGTGACTTACATTAAATAAAAAGAGTCAAGGCAGGTCTTAAGTTTGATGCCTTTCTGTTACTAGCTTTAGCTATATTTTTAGTTTGGGGTGTATGGGGGAAGCTACAATGCATGTGTTCCAAGACATGAAAATCATTAATCTCTACTCTGTTTAAAATCAAAATGTAGGTGGCATTATTCAGTGTATGTAAAATTTATTTTTCTCTTTGCAGATGACAGTATGGATTGTGTAGATAATGAGAGAAGACCTCATTTTCCTCAGTTCTCCTATTCAGCCAGTGGAACAGCTTAATGTTTTGCCTTTTTTCCCATTCAGAAACAAAACAGACTACATTTTGGGGACCTTACTTCAATGGACACTAGAAAACTGTCTATATTATCTGAATTACAAACTATGTTTGTACTACAATTTACATGAATTTGTCGGAAGCCTCACAGATTCTGTATTTAAAACAATTCTCTGATGCATTTTTGAGAAGAAAACATTTAAGAATGGATTTGTTTAAGTCAACTTTTATGCTGAATGACTAGGTTTTTAAGAATACGCACCAAAACGGTTTACATTAGAAATAATTAAGATATTCAACATATCAGCAACTCTGACCAGAAAAATCCCCTTATTTTATTTATTTCATACAGTTCATTATCTAAATATAGAATCTGCACTCTGAACAATTAGATTTATTTAGGAAGCTATAAAGACTTTAGTAGCTAGTGCAATAATATAAGCAACAAAGTGAACAAACTCTGGAGAGTTAAAGGTTCAAACTCACTTTGGACAGCAATGAAGTGTCATCCTGCTCCAGAAAATCAACTATAGGAACAGCATTAATGGCCTCAGTGAGGTAGTTCAAAAAGCAAGTTATTTTGTTATAACATCTGCTACAAGACATTATGTATCAAATTGAATTCTGTGGAATCTAGTCCATTTCTACATCGCACAGATGAGTATTCCATTCAAGATAGTGCATTTAATTATTCCATTTGTCTAGAATTTAGGAGTATTTAACAGGATCGGCTGCTCAAAACTTAGAAAACCGTCTGATTACCAGTCTAATCTAAAATGCTATACTGCAGAATTGTACAGTGTATAAAAAGCCACACACAGCTCTAAGGGAGAAATTCATCTGGATGAATGAATCAACCAAACAGAAGTAAATTTTGGCACTGAAGTAATGACTTGTTGCTGCTTTTTTTTAAAGAGAAGTTGTATAAAGATACATAAACAATTACTGTTTGCATCATGCCAGACAATTTCCTCACTCTTCAGTGTGCATTCACGGTATCAGGCAACTGTCAGTGGTGCCTTCTGACTCTTGAAGAAGCACTTTAACAGTGTTTCCCGTGTATAAGAAAAAAAAACTAGGTTGAAACTTCCTCTGTGTTTGAGTAATAGGGTGTTCACGTGAATATATTTTGTTTTTAATCTTAGTGAGAATTCCCCCATCCCCTTTTTTTGGTTGTATCATGTTTCTTTGTAACTTTCGTAAAAACAGTCTTATTCTGCCTCTCCTGCCCGAATGACTTTATTCCATTGTAGGTTGCATTTTTTTAGATTGCTTTTTGTTTTCATTCTCTTGACTGTATAAAAATGATGAAATGTACTGCAGTTAATTAGCATTTATTTTTTTAATTTGGAAGAGAGTGTGTTGCAGATACCCTCACTTCCCCTTTCCACGATAAACTACTGTGGTCCAGCACAGAGAGCCCCTCACCGGGACTTTTTTTTTGTACACAAGGTTCAACGCTAGTATTTTTACTTATGATATGGAAGTTTCCCTCTAAATACTTAAATAAAAATTGCTTAAACACGGTAGGTGCTTATTTCTTTTGATAGGAGCTTTATGGGTTCAGAGAAATGTGAAAGCTGTTCTCAAATTTCTCTCCATTGTTCCCTGATCCAAACTCTAAAGCACTCACCTCTATGAGTAGAATTTGCCTTCCCTACACTCCTTCCTTTTGCTGCTGGTTTAGTAACAGGTGTTTTCAGCAGTAGATTGTTAAAGAAATAATTCATTCTGCACTGGAAGATCTTCTCTAGTGGGGATGAAAAAGGAAGGGACTCACTTTGCCATGTTCAATCCGTGAGCTGTCACTGATGTCAATGGGACTAATCATTAAAAGTCTGCAGGATCAGGACACCTGAGCTCTCTGAACAAGAAAGGGCTGGAGTAGAATAAAGGTGTGACATGCAGGAGTGTTGCTAAATCTTTATTTCCTGCCCCAATCACCTGAGTCAGAGATACAGGAGGCCAGTATTCATTGACTCCAGGGGCTCCTGTTAAAAAAGGTATTCTCTCTCCTTTTAAGTGCTGGAAAAACATACTGTATTGTTTTAAACACAATCAATTTGAAGCTAACCGTGGATGCTGCAGCTGTTCAATAAGCAACTAAACACCCAAACCAGATCTGTTTGGTTTAAGTAAAGGGCTGTAATTCCTGAGAGAGTTTACTGTCCACCAAAGCTCAAGTTCTTACCAGGGAGCGTAAGCCTTTGTAGTCTTTTTCACCCAACTAAGCAATGATTATTAAGCATCAAGGTGGGCTAGGAGCATCAGCCTGTGTCTGTGTGGTCACATGAAATGTTGGGGGGCAGAGTGGGGTTTGTTTCCTTTCAGAGCTTCAATCTGTGCCAGACAGCATGCCCCATTTGTCTGATATAACACAGCTTACAGTCCTATTGCTCTTGAACCTGTGCCTAGGTTTGGGTTAAGAAATAGATCCAACCAGCGCACCAAGACCAAATAGGGCTAAGTTAAAAATTACTTAGCAAGTTAGCTGTCTTCAAGTCACCAGGGCCTGATGAAATACATCCTAGAATACGCAAGGAGCTGACTGAGGAGATATCTGAGCCATTAGCAATTATCTTCGAAAAGTCATGGATGATGGAAAAGATTCCAGAGGACTGGAAAAGGGTAAATATAATGCCAATATATAAAAAGGGGAATAAGGCCAACCTGGGGAATTACAGACCAGTCAGCTTAACTTCAGTACCTGGAAAGATAATGGTGCAAATAATTAAGCAATCAATTTGCAAGCATCTAGAAGATAAGGTGATAAGTAACTCAGTATGGATGTGTCAAGAAGAAATGTCAAACCAACCAAATATCTTTCTTTGGCCTGGTCTACACTACACTAACCCCCCACTTCGGACTAAGGTACGCAAATTCAGCTACGTTAATAACGTAGCTGAATTCGAAGTACCTTAGTCCGAACTTACCGCGGGTCCAGACGCGGCAGGAAGGCTCCCCCGTCAATGCCGCGTACTCCTCTCGCCGAGCTGGAGTACCGGCATCGACGGCGAGCACTTCCGGGATCGATCCGGGATCGATTTATCGTGTCTAAACCAGACGCGATAAATCGATCCCAGAACATCGATTGCCTGCCGCCAGACCCTCCAGTAAGTGTAGACGTACCCTTTGACAGGGTAACAAGCCTTGTGGGTGTGGAGGAAGCAGTAGATGTGGTACATCTTGACTTCAGTAAGGCTTTTGATACTGTCTCGCAAGACCTTCTCATAAACAAACTAGGCAAATAAAACCTAGATGGAGCTACTATAAGGCGGTGCATAACTGGTTGGAAAACTGTTCCCAGAGAGTAGTTATCAGTGATTCACAGTCAAGCTGGAAGGGCATATCACATGGGGTCCTGCAAGGATCAGTTCTGGGTCCAGTTCTGTTCAATATCTTCATCAATGATTTAGATAATGCTATAGAAAGTACACTTATAAAGGTTGTGGACTATACCAAGCTGTTAGGGGTTATAAATGGTTTGGAGGATAGGATTAAAATTCAAAATGATCTAGACAAATTGGAGAAATAGTCTGAAGAAAATAGGATGAAATTCAATAATGACAAATGCAAAGTACTCCTCCACTAAGAAGGAAGAGTCAGTTGCACACATACAAAATGGGAAATGACTGCCTAGGAAGGAGTACTGCAGAAAGGGATCTGGGAGTCATAGTGGATCACAAGCTAAATATGAGTCAACAGTATAACACTATTGTAAAAAAATCAAACATTCTGGGCTGTATTAACTGGAGTGTTGTAAGCATGACACGAGAAGCAATTCTGCTCTACTCTACACTGATTCCACCTCAACTGGAGTATTGTGTCCAGTTTTGGGTGCCACATTTCAGGAAAGATGTGGACAAATTGGAGAAAGTCCAGAGAAGAGCAACAAAAATGATTAAAGGTCTGGAAAATGACATAGGAGGGAAGATTGAAAAAAATGGGGTTGTTTAGTCTGGAGAAGAGAAAACTGAGTGTGTGTGGGCATAAGTTTTCAAGTACATAAAAGGTTGTTACAAGGAGGGAGAAAAATTGTACTAGTTAACTTCTGAGGATAGGACAAGAAACAATGGGCTTAAATTGAAGCAAGGGAGGTTTAGGTTAGACATTAGGAAAAACTTCCTAACTGTCAGGATAGTTAGCACTGGAATAAATTGGAATAGGAAGGTTGTGGAATCTCCATCATTGGAGATTTTTAAGAGCAGGTCAGGGTGCCGGATTAGAAGATCTTTCAAGGTCCCTTCCAGTCCTACAATTCTCTGAAGGTCCCTTCCAGTCCTACAATTTTATGATTCCACAAGTTGTGACAAGTTCTGAGCCAACATATATATAATTCATCCTAATATAGGTTGCAATAACTTCTGTCTATTTGTTAAACCTCCCAAAGGGAGACCTTGCCTTTCAAATACAGCAACATAGAGTCAGCAAAACAATGTAATCCATCTCAGATGCTCCAGAGGAAAATTATGTCGTGCTGGGGTGTTTTGCCAGTTTGCCGCGGCGATAGATTCTGTCTCAATACCACCACACAAAATGCCACTTAGCGGAACAACAACAAAACCCTGCAAATCAGTAAGAACCAACTAATGAAGCCAGTGTTAACAGAGTAAAAGTCACCAATTTTTTTTCACAGTATGGTCCGCATCTTAATAGAGTGTCTCATGGATCATATCCCCTCCCATTTGCAATTACACCATCCATCTTGCCTCTGATTGTGCAACATCCGTACAGCAATTACACTTGCTTACATGGAAATATAACATCTTTTAACTTTCATTATGATTTAGTAGATGAAGACAAGGCGAGTCAGTTGCATGTCAATCACTGTGGACAACACCCTGTCATCCTGCCTGGTAGGCCCATCTTTGACTCAGCCCTCTCTCTAGGTCCCCACATCCAAGATAGTCTTGCAGATTCTTTCTGCATAACGTCTCAAAGGACAAGTCTACGCTAGAGCGCTACATCGGCGTAGCTGCACTGATGCTGCTGCAGTGCATCTGGTGAAGACGCACTCTGTTGAGAGGAGAATGCTCTCCAGTCAGAATAATTACTCCACCTCCGCAAGAGACGGAAGCTATGCTGGCGGGAGAGTGTCTTGCACCAATGTAACGCCGGTGTGGACAGCGCTTAAGTCGATGTAACTTGCATTGCTCGGGGGGGGGTCTTTTTCACACCCCTGAGCAATGTAAGTTACATTGACTTAAGCGGTAGTGTAAACCAGCCCTAAAATACACCCTTCTACGCAGTTAAAACTCTCATCCAGGCTTTTATCATCTCAACTACTGTAACATCCTTCTCTTTGGCTTTCACAAATGCTACTTTCCATGGTCATATCTATTCAGAATGCTGTCACAAAGATTATTTTCCTAGCCCATCACTTGTCCACGTCACCCTCTCTTTACATCCCTTCTCTATCACATCAGACATAACTACTTGTCTTCACTTTCAAGCCCCTTTATGGCCTATCCTCACCCTATCTATCGTCTTTCGTTTAGAATCAGGGTGTCAACTTTTGCTTCCAATTGGCACATGAGGCCAACCTCCATCTCCCATTTGTTAAATTTGCAAACAGGCTCCCATGCTGCCCCACATGATTTGGAGGGACTCACCATAAACATCTACAAAACCCCTTCTTAAAACTCTCCTTTGCAGTGATGCCTACAAAAAGTTTGACAACGATTCAGCTGTTGGTGGGTTGAGACCACTTCCTATCATGCTGACCAATACTGTCTCATCGTTTCCTTATATCTCCGATCTCTCTGTATCCATCTGTTGGCTCATCTTAGACTGT